AGGCCCACTATGCAGTCCAGGCCAGACTGTCTCGGAGTGTCACCAGGAAGAGGAAGCGGGAGGACTCTGTCCCGCCCCCATCCGTCGCCCGGAGTCGCAGCTGCTCTCGAACTCCGCGGGACGTCTCTGGTCTTCGGGACGCCAAGGTCAGTTGCCGTTTTGTGCGTTAGTAACACGACGGCCTCCGCTTTTGGTTGCTCAAAGGCGCCTGGCAGAGCTGTGCAGCTGTCGTTGGAGCGGGGCCTGCAGGGCACCGGCCTGGAGCCCTCAGCGACGCGGAGCCGTGCAGGGAAGTGTCCCGGAGAGCCATCTTGGTCCTTCTTTTGGACGAGGCACTTTGGGTGTGCAGTTGCTCGTGCTGAAACTGTTAAGTAAACACAAAAGTTGTCAGTTTGAGCATTTCGAAAGTGCAGGAGAGGAGAAAGTCCACAGGCAAGGTGGCAGGCGGTCTGTTCCGTGGCAGCCCATCCCCACCTAGAAAGCTGGGTTTTTGAGTCGGCTTTGCCGCTGGTCAGACGTGAGCGGCGTCACAGGTCTGTGTCTGAGTTTGTGCGTTTGTCCACGAGGGAGTCGGACCAGGTGTGCTCTGACCTTCTGGTCGACGTGCCTGTCCGGTAGGCACGGAGCTGGCGTGCGTGCTCCTCCCGCCGCCTTCGCCCGCACGGGCTGAGTTCCTGCAGACGCTGGTGGGTCCGAGGGGGAACGGCGAGGAGGCCTTACGCGGGTTTCCCTTCACAGCCGACCTTGACCGTTGGCCGGTGGACGGGTGACGAGAGCGCACGGGGGATGTGGCTTCGGTAGCCAGCGTGCTCTGTGTTGTTCTCTCTTGCAGATGGTGAGGAAAACCAAGACTATGATGAAGAAAGCGCAGAAGCAGATGAACCGATCGGGGAGGAAGGGGGAGGCAGACAGGCACGTGTTCGACATGAAGCCCAAGCACTTACTCTCTGGGAAGAGGAAAGCCGGTAAAAAGGACAGGAGATAGTGTCCACTGCAGCCGGACCGGTGAGTGAGACTGCGGCTTCTTGTTCCTGAATGAGATGGCTCCTGAAACTGGCGTCAGGGACCCGGAAACTGAACAGCAGGAAGTAGCCGAAAGCCCTGTTGCTTTCCTGAAAGCCGCGCCCACCCCTCACCTGTGCGAGCGTGGGGACGTCCACCTCTGCGTGGCACTGCAAGTATGCGGAGGAGACGCTGGTTTCTGCACTTACTGAGGGGCTTTGGTTGCATCAGCTTTGCAGAACTGAAAAGATTTATTGCTGTGACTGCCGTTGGTGAGGGAGCGAAATCTTCTCTTTGGTAAGAGGGCACTTCGGTTTGGTCAGTGCATGTGAATAGTCCTTTTCTGCAGAGAAAACATCTGCACTTGTGAACAGCGGCAGCGGCTGCCGGCCCTGCCCCACAGACCCGGGCCGAGCGCGGCTTGCTGTTAGAATGCCGGCACTGAGTGCTCCTCCACTCCTCCCGCACCAGGTACCATTGTAATCTGTCTTCAGCCAGTTGTCCAAAATAAACTTCTAAAAGAAAATAATTTCGATCATTTAGGTGTTTTTGTTTTTTTTTCTGGTGTAGCTACAGATTGCTGTCCATTTGGCCAAACGAGAAAGGAGGAAAAAAACGATTCTGTCTTAAAAGTAGAAACACTTCTCCACGGGATGACAGGTGGCCCGAGGCGCTCCGGCAGCCGAGTGTGGGCATCTCCTGCCCTGCAGTCCGTTGCTGAGCTTCACACGTGTTCCGTGAACACACAAGCACCCAGCTCTGTCACAGGAGCACCTCCGGGGGTCTGTTCTTAATCGTTTTAAGTGGGAGTCACTGTGAGGTGTGTGCCAGTGCACCCTGAGCACAGTGGGAACCAAGGGCGTGTCCCCCAGACATTGGGCTTCTGCGTACTGGTTGCTGATGGTTGCTCCTGACGACAGAGGGGGACCCTTGCTTGCGATTCGTAAGCTGAATCAGATTCGGGAAATTTAAAGGGCCAGTGCCTTTTATTCCCCCTTGCATCTTTCCTTTTTTTGCCTCTTTTGGGGGCCAGACATTTGAGGATTGGGACTTTAAAGAGCAGCTTTGTGTACAGGGGAATTTAGAAAGCACTCAAGCCTGGCGAAAGGCACAGTCAGAAAAGAATCAGGAGGACCTTACATTTTTACTGCAGGCTGGCGTAGAGATGGCCTACAACAATCCCCAAAAGAAGTCCTCCCTGGGGAAGGGGGGAGTCTGATCTACAGAATTACCACGGTACGTGATTCAAATGTCCAGTTTTCAGCAACAAAAGGAATCACAAGGCCTACAAATAAATAGGAAAGTATGGCCCATTAAAGGGAAAAATAAACCGAAATGGTCCCCCAGAAAGACCAGCTGGTGGACTTACTAGACAAAGACTTTAAAGCAGCTGTCTTATGTTGTAAGAGCTGAAGGAAGATGACATGGAAAGCAGTTATGTACAAAATAGCAACGTCAATAAAGGGAAAACAAAAGGCACTGAAATCTAGAGCTGGGAAGTTCAGCTGACAAAAGCAAAAGGTCGATGGGACCTTATCAAACATCTCTGCTCATCAAAGGAAGTAATCAGTGACAAAACCAATTAGAGAATGGGAGAAAATATTTGCGAATATCTATATGAGATTAATACCCCGAATATAAGAGGAACTCCTATAAGTCAATTATGACAAAAGATACCTGTTAAAAAATGGGCAAAAGATCTGAATAGACAATTCTCCAAAGAGATGCAGATGGCCACGCTCATGAAAGGACACTCGGCATCGCTCGTAACGGGAAATGAAGGTTGAGACCACGATGAGCTGACTCCATGAGGAGTCATTATTGCCTCCACGTATTTGAAAGTGATAGAATGTATACTTGTTCCTCTGTAAGTTGTGATATGAATCCTAATGGAACTAATGACTTGATAAGGTTAGCCTCCCGGAGTGCACTTTTCTCCACCCTAAAATATGGCTCAATCCGTCAATACTGGGAGGCCTTAGGGCAAATTATCTCCCAGATTAAGCGAAATTATCCCAGAATTAAAAACAACTTCAAAGAAAGTGGTGCATTACATGTTATATCGTTTTCAATTTAAAAGCAAATTACAGTTGAATCTGAGCTCATGCTCTGGGTGTGGAATATGCCGTCCTTGCTAAGGTATCGCTCTACGAATTATTTCTTAATCCCCGGGGGAAATACCTTTTATTATAGAGAAGTCTGGCAGATGCATGCGAACTGTGGGGGCTAAGGTGGGCACTGACAGGTTGTCTTGTGCCCCCAGGTGCGGAGGCCCGAGGGCACATGACTTGTGCGATGTTCTGGCCAAAACTCATCCGAGCCGTGTCATGGGAAACTGTTAAATGGAGCATTTTGTACAATAATTGATGTGGAGTGGGCATCAGCATCCAGGGGACAGCCTGGGGACTGACGGAGCGGGTTGTGACATGCAGGTGATCCTTGCCTCCGTCTGGGGGAGGTTGGGGAGGACTCAATGAAAGTCAGTATTGGGAAATGGGGACATTGGAACAGTTCTAAATGGAAGTGCCATGTGTGTGGGTGTCCTTTTGTGCTGTAGCACACGCCCTCAGGAGTGCGCTGAAGTAACGGGGCCAAGAGTCGGGTGTGCACTGGGCCATGAGCATGTCGGCTGCGTGTGCCGGCCTGCTCGGTAGGCAGCCTGTGCCACGGGCGTGCCCACGGGCGCTCACTGCACTGAGCTCGTGGTGTTCTGTAGTTCTGACGTTTTTCAAAATGAAACTTTGAAAGAAATAATCCATGCCGCCTCAGGGAACTCAGCCCGGGTGGGACAGGCAGCAAGTGAATTCAGCACCATTCTGGGTGTGAAGTGGAGAAACGACCAGGAGACGCAGCACGGCGGGGTGAGGTGTCACAAACACTGCAGCTGCTGGATTATCAGCAGACAGGCGAGTGTGGCAGCGGCCACCTAGTCGGGTGGTGCCAGGGTGGCCTGACCTGGGCGGCAGCAATGGTGGACTCGATCAGCAATGCCCTAAGCAGACGCGAGTGTGAGAGGGAAGGGGCTTTCGGGGGATGCAGCAGCGGGAGGGGCCCCGAGTGTGGGGGCCCGTTCACTCACATAGCAGCATCCTCACAAGGGCCAAATGGAAGTCCGTGGAGAGTTCAATCTGGGTCTGAAGCGTGTAGCTGATAGTGGGTGAGGTTGTAACACGGAGACCCAGTCGGGGCTCTGCACCCACATCCTCTATGGGATGTGGCAAGCGCGGGTTCAGGGTGAGGAAGAGGGATCCTCCACACAGCCATCTGTGGGGGCCGGCACCCACAAACACACAGGGTGCACACGTCCCCCAGGGAGCCGATGGTGGGACGCTTTCTTCTGCCACGAGGCGCACCGGGGCCTGCTCATGCTCCGGGTGCCCACGGCCCTCCCTGCAGTGGTGCCTGATCATCCTCAAGGGCCAGTGAGGGGGTGCTGTGCCCTCCCCCATCCCGGTGTGCTCAGATGCTCTAGTCCTCTGGGTAATTCGGTGTTGGGATCACACAGTAAAGGCTGCCTCTGGGACTTGTTTCTCAAATGTCAGCTGGCTTGAGCACGGTGACAGTGCCGAGCTCAGTGGGTCAGGGTTCCTCCAGGGATGCTGCAGCAAGCTCTAATGCAAGCTGGCCTCGGGCCCCACCGTCCAGGCCACAGCTGATAGCCACGGTCCTGCTGAGCAGCAGTCATGTGTGGCTTTCAGCCTGAACCTCCAAGGAAATGGGAATTAGAAACAATGTTACAAATGCATTTTGAAGCTCCAAGGCATTTATTTTTAAGATAGACATGTTAACCTATTACTGTATTATAATTGTAACAAACTACACAATAGTATTAAAATGCAATTTTTAATTTTTTTTCCTGCAAAATCAATGCTTGTAACAATCTCATAAAATTATAAAACTTTCACTTAAGAAATGCAGTCTTCCAGTGAATTCATTCATACCACATTTAGCTTGTAAGAAACAAATTATTTTTCATTATTATAACATTAAAGAAAAATGAAGCTATCTTGAGATTTAAAATTTGAGAACTCTACGGCCAAGAATTTCAGAAAGTGCATCAACCAAAATACAATTTAAATATTAATACACAGACTCCACCAGTTCCACTCGACATGAACATTAGCCTTGGTTAATTTTCCCCCAAGACTTTGTAGAGCGGGTTCTCAGCTGGGGCAACTTTGCCTTCCAGCAGATGTTTGGCATCTGGTATCCTTGTGACTGTGATGGGGATGGGCGGTAATGGCATTTAGTGGTAGATCCCAGGGATGCTGTCAGACGTGCTGGTGCACAGGTGAACCCTACAACGAAGAACCAGCCAGCCAGAGTGTCAACAGTGCCAACGACAAGATGCTGTGTTGCGGTGCACGGCTGAGTCGGATTTTACAAATAGCCCGTGTGTCCCTGAATTCTTAGCACAGACTGACAGCAATCCGGACGTACACCACTGATTACCTGAACCTGCCCCCTCGCTTAATCTCAATATGGAAAGTTCATTTAAACTGCTTTGAAGTAGCTAAGCAAGTAGCTTCTGGTGCACATTTACCCGGACAAATGACAAAAGTTTAATGATATGTAAAGCACCTGGCAATCAGCAAAGTGCCCTACAATGTCCTGAAAATGTTTATCTCAACATATTGTAAATGAAGAGTGTCACTCATTCAAATTTGTTAGGACCCCGTGTGTGTGTGTTTAGACGGTTAACGTTTGTTTTCTTTTTTTACAATAAATGTCTTTTACAAACACCAGTGCATCTGTATGGCGTGTGTGACACAAAATTAAGGAGTCAGTTATCTTTTCCACATACATTCTGGTCGTAAAGTACCACCATTTCCCATGAGAGTTGTTAAGGAAGAACCAAATTTTTAAAAAATGATTTCAAGTTGACTAAGTACAGAGATGTTTTAGGACTTGACTAGTCATTCACCTCTGTTTTCACATTCTATGTATTTTCTCATGGTCAACAAACTGGTTCAACTGACTCAAGTTATCCCACCACTTAAAGAGAAAAGCCTCCGCAATCAAGCGGAACCACGGGGTTATCTGAACTTCGCCGCTGGCCGCCTGTTTCAGCATTTTCTCCAAGTCTTCTTTGGACACATAGCAATAGCTTTTCACCTCATTGGGGTCAGGGTTCAACGTCACGTTCTTCCTCACCAACAAAACGTAATCGATTTCATGTTCTCCCCAGATGCCGTCAGATTGAGCCTTGTAGTGAATTCGTGTTAGATAATTAATTTCTTCCGGAGGAACCTGGGATGAAAACAAAACAGTAATAGAAACATCAACCGAAAGGTAAATTAACTCACATTTCAGTAATATCTTGAACAAAAGAAGTATAATTTTAGAGTTAAGACTTTTAAAATGTTAGTTTCCTACTGATGATATATGGAAATATTACTACAGTTTCAACTTTCTAGACTTTTTCCATAGGACCAAAAATATAAGTTGACTTATTGAAATAGTTATTTTAAAAAACAAGCAGTCACTCAAACTACAATTGCTACATTTTCCTTCACATCTTAGTATTACCTTTCTGGAGAAAAAAAATGTTAACCGTTTGACTAGATGAGAGATACTTTATTTAGTCAGGTCTCATTTAAAGGGATAATTCCCAGATAGAAAAAAAAAGATGACTTCAATTCACCCAGTTGGAACTGCATTCATATCCCTAAGGTTTTCCACGAGAAAATACGCACCTTAGACCTGTTCTAGTATAAAACAGCCAACTTCATAGACTGGTTAATAGTTCAATTTATTTCAGAGCTAAATTCTGACAGGTCATATCAAGAAATCGACATTTAAATAATCTTTATTTAAGGTGCTTTTTGGGGCCAATAACTCAAGAGGTGGCAAAGCACAGACCTACGCTAGATTAAAATTGTACTGCAACACGTTTTAAGGTACGTCTGGCTTTCTGGCTGGCTGCGTGGCTGCAGGTGCAGTCGCAGCCGGGTTACCTGCTCCATGGGAATCCCCAGCTCGTCCTTCAGACGCCTCTGCGCTGCCCGCCTCACTCCCAACGCACCGTTCTCCTCGAGCTCCCACGGGGTATTCAAGGGGTGACTGCAGCAGCTATTGGTGAAGTAACCTGGACACGTTGACACAGACACAGATTACCTTCTTCAAAGAAGCTCTAAAAGATCACAACCCAAAGCTCTAAAAGTAACGGGGAAATAAGTGAAACGGCTGAGGATTTCTAAGTCGGTGAAAACAGACTACCAGTAATCACCTGGAGAAACAGACGTGTGTAGCTATGTTCTTTACCAATGCCTTCTTACTCAAAAAAGATCAAAATGTAAGATACAGCCTTTTAAAATATATGCGAATATACACACATAGACACACACCTAGCGGTTTTTATCTTTCACTGCTGTGTTACCAGGTTGCACTCATTGTATGAACTTTTACAATAAGATATATCATTCACAGGATTCTCTTTTTTGACCTTGGCTAACCAGAAGGTTCCAAGTGACGAAGTCAATTAACTATAGTTCCCAACAAAACACCACACGTCTGGCACACTGACCTGGGAAGGTAACTTTAGCATCCGATCTCTGCTGTAGCAGGAGCTTATTTTCGGTGTTGAATAAGAAGACGCTAAAAGCTCGATGCAATAGTCCTGAAAGCAAAAGCAGCACTATTAACTGAGTTTTAAAATACCCATTATTTGCCTGATTCTGTACTTGGGATCCAGAACCCCCGTAACTTGGTGCCATTTCTGCTTTTTTTTGCAGCCTTCGATTTCACGAGTCCCTGCATGCCCATGACGAGCTTCGGCACACCAGTGAGGGAGGCAGCCACCAGGTGAAAGACATGGTGACCTGGCTGCCAGCTCGGCTGCCGCCAGCCTCCCGAGGAAGCTGGGAAGCGTGTGCTCCCTGCGTGGCACTCGTCTCTGTCCATGCAGTAGAAAGAATGCATCACAGACTTGACAAGTGGCCCTCGGCTAGGATTAGGCTAGTCCCTCCACTGTAAAACCAGAATAATGCTGAAGCTCAGTGAAGGGCACGAAATGGAAAGAATCAGCTGTTGGGCGGGGAAAGCGGCAAGCCAGGTTTTCCTGGGACACCACGAAACTGGGCTACAAATCAATACAAGGCGACTAACACACGCACATCTCCACCAATGCGCTTGTCGCGGCTACCCTAAAATGGTCAGGCAAATCGCCTTCTGACGGAATATTTTAACACAGTACCTTTGTCAATGTTTGCATTCAGGTGACAATTCTTTTTGGTATCAACCCCAATTTTATTGTCATTTTCATCGATAAGAATGCACATCTCTGTCAGGAGTCGAAACTGCTGCTTATCGAGACGGTTGATGTTGATTGCATCCATCATTACAGGATGTCTGATCCGTCCTAGAACACTGGTGGGAAACGGGAAGACAGGCATGCACATCACACTTCTTCGGATGTCATATAAACACATAAATCAGTTCTGAATCCATGAGCCAGGGAAGGAATTCAGCCATTTCGAGGGGTAAGAAATGAACTGTCTCCACTTTGGCCATTGGCTGGCCTTGTCATGGCCATTCCCTTAACTACCAGACTCCAGGTTCTCCAAATCCTTGTCCTGTGAGACACTGTGCTGCACTTGACAGTCACTCTGCACATGTTCTTGAGTCTGTGCATCTATGGCTTGACCCAGGCCTAACTTTTCATCCTATTTCTCCACAAGTGTTTCTGTATCGCCATAACCCATATCATATAACCATATGTGTCACACGCGGGTTATGTGATAACCATTGCTACCCCAAATGCATTGTCATCCCCTCCTATGCCACATCCCAAGCTCTGCCAAAACCCATTTTTCCAGGTCCATTCATGGACCAAACACTGCCGAACCTTTCCCCCAACACCTCAGGAAGATTTAACCCAACTTTTCGCAGCCGGGCTGCAGATCAGATGGGAGCGCGGCGTCCGGGCACCCGGAGAGCACAGCGCCCAACGCCACCGTGGACGCCCTAGGCGCAGTGCGCCGTCTGTGGGGGTCCCCGGCGCAGGGACAGTCGCCCCGCTCGGCCACAGGCTGTGTGTCAGCTCTCGAGGAAACTCCACCGACAGGCAGTCAAGTGAAGTTCCACTCCGTTTTCACACACCCGAAAGGTATGTCCTTTTGGGTGCCCCGCGAAACCACCATCAATGAAAACCCGTTCGCAGCTCACAGGACACAAAAGCAGGCGGCGGGGCCGGGCTTGGTCCACCGGCCGCCGCGGGTCCGACACTGCCGCAGCGCGCCGAGGCCCCGTGCCG